TGACCTTTCCTAGGCTGTCTGACCTTCAGGGTAAGGCAGAAGTCGCAGGTTGCCAGATATGGTGGCTACGTTGGACAAGGACACAGCACGGTGTGTTTATGAGCTGCCATTGCTCTGGATAGAGCTGGGCAGTAGCCGTCACTGTTTTTATTATCACACCTGGGACAGACCCTCAGGAAAGAGGACTCCAGAGCTGCTGCAGGAAGTGGCCAGGATGGCGGGATGAGTGTGTGCAAAGCCGGGAGGATCCTGAGGAGAATTTGTGGCAACGCATCTTTTACTAAAACACACTTTGTAAAATTCCTACATTTTCCCTATTTTTATGACACCAGATGTACATATGTGCATATCTTTAAGGCTATGCCATCTCCAGGCATTCGTGTGTTAGGCATACACAGATCCCACCAACTGCAGATCAAAAGTATGCAGAGAAGGAAATGGTTCCAGTACTGAACACACACCGCATCTTCACCTTCTCGGTTCTCCCTAAGTGACCCAGGATAACAACACCCAGCACAGAGGGAGCCTTGCACAGGAGGTGATGGACGGAGGAAAGAGACGAGGAGAGAAAGAGACAGAAAGAGACAGACTCAGAGAGAGAGGGAGAGACAGAGAGAGACAGAGACAGAGACACAGAGAGTCAGAGGGACAGAGATGGACAGAGATGGAGAGACAGAGTGTCAGAGAGACAGAGACAAGGAGAGACAGAAAGACAGAGACAAAGACAAAGAGACACAGAGAGAGACACACGACCGAAAGGTGGAGACCGCCTGGCGTAAGAGGAGAACCAGGAGCCCTGTCTTGCTGCCCAGCTTCCTATGCAAGCAGGAAACAGAACAACATCCCAAGATGTCCTCATCTTGCCCCATGTGGAGACAAAATAACGTCCCCAAGATGTCCATGTCCCGCCCCCCTGTAGAGACAGAATCATGTCCCCAAGATGTCCCCATCCCATCCCCATGTGGACACAGAATAATGTCCCAAAGATGTCCCTGTCCTGTCCCCGTGTGCAGACAGAACAATGTCCCCAAGCATGGCTACCCAGCACACCCAGGAGCGTCCTCCTGCACAGAGGGACAGGCAATACGGGGACGCAGGATGGACAGATGGCACCGACTCTCAAGAGACTACATTTGGAAAGACCCATGCAGAGGGCTGTGGCGTGGGGTGCCCACCTGTCATCCCAGCACCCAGGAGGCTGAGGCAGGAAGATCTCAAGTTGGAGCCCAGGCTGGGCAATTTCATTACTTAGTGACACCTTGTCTCAAAATACATACAAAGGGCTGCAGATGTGGCTCCACCCACCAGGAAATGCAGGGGGCAATTCTTCCACTGCCAGCCGCATTCCGGCTCGGTTTCTGTAGTGTTCAATTTTATTCTACTTCTTTGCCTTTTAGTTATTCTTGCAGTGCTGGGGATGGAACCCCAGACCTGCTGCAGGCTCAGGCTGGGCTTGGCCACTGGGCAACCCCTCAAATGCTGCAATCTGCAATCCTGCAGTGTTGCAAAACCCCATCCTGAAGGAGCCTGCACTTCCTTCTTTCCTTTCATC